GCGACGCGATGATAGTGATCGGAGGCGAGCTCACCTGGTGAGCAGGAAGGTCACCCTCCAAGATAGCAGTTGACCGCTCATGGCGACTCGGGAGTATGAAGTCGTGCTTCTCCCGGTTAAACGGAGGGGCACGTGTTAAAGAACGTCTCGGGTTCCTTGATAATCACGCACTTTTAACAACTTATTGGGCGGCAATGCCGCGCATGAATCAGTGGAGAAACCACACACACACAGAATATTTGCCGTTTTACCGAAATCACTTGATTTGGAGACGTGCGAAACGAGTCTGCCACGAGGCCGTTCTCTTCCGCCGGAGAGTTCTCGAGAGACGGAAACGGGGGAGATCCGGAACGCGGCGCTCTCTGGTGGTCAATTATGAATCTTTTCCCCTAGGGTAGAAACATGAAAAATGAAAAATCTCTCTTTCTATTGATGTTAAATAGAAAGAGATAGTCATATAAAACTTTTCACTTTCCACGTTCCACATTAATACATGATTGACCCCATATTGATCCGATGATTGACGGCGTTGCGCGAGGGGTGCAGTTATCGCAAACAAAGACACTGCGCGTGTCCGGAAATGCGCTGTGCTCCGATTCTCAACAACGCCGGCATGCTCGCACCTGTGCGTGAGGCGGCATCGACGCGTGATCAACCACGCGGGGCGGCATGATCGACAATCCCGGATCGAATACGTGCCACGAGACTGACGGCAGGCACGTAGCGGTCAGCCTCGCGGCCCGATGCTTACATCGAAATTGCTATGTTCGATCCTTAACAACCATTAACATTGAATATATTATAGTTGAATAAAATATTTAAAATCCGATTAATGTGTTTAAAATTTCTTTAACCGAAGGGACATTAAAAATATAATTAACAAACTTATGTTTCCAAATTATTTATAATAATAATTATATACATTTAATTTAAGTTTTACACATTAGGGGTATTCAAATAAGTTAAAGTTTAACGGTTTGACAGGTTATGTCGGGTTAAAGTCGAGTAAAAGTTAATTAATTAACTTTGGGCGCGCTACTCTTTAAGGTTATGCAAAATACATAAGTGACTCATTAACCTATCACATTAATCTTTAGGTTAAAAGTTTGAAAATTAACTTTTTACTCGACTTTAACCCGACATAACCTGTCAAACCGTTAAACTCTAACTTATTTGAATACCCCTATTTATATATTAAATTTAATAGTTTTTAAACTTTAAATAATTAAATATTAACATTTTACGTAAAAATGTTTAGAGAAATCTGTAGGTATTTCTTTTAAAATATATTTTTGATAATTTTCAGCTGCAAGTTCCAAAAAAATAACGAAAATGTCTTAAACAAGAAAAGGCACGAGAATTGCGCTTGTTTGTATATTTTTATGCGTTTAAGTTTAGATAAAGGTAAAGGCAACCAAACGACCGGCCCCGACTCAAAGAATGCAAAGAATATATTAACCGCGTTTTAATCGAAATCGTCGAGATTATATCTTGATCGCGAATATCTGAATTTAAATAGCATAATGTACACGAAACAACCGAAATTAAAAAATCAATCGATGAATAAATCAATAAATAAATCAATGATGGAAAAAAATTAGTACAATCCGAATCGCGAACCGCGAACCGCGAACCACAAACCGAACCGCGAAATAAATCGCAAACATTATTTGATCTCACCCAATCTCACCTCAGATATCAAGTGATCATTATAAAAAAAGTCACTCACCGACCGATGCGCAACGGGCGGAGTTCGTCAGCCACGTAACTCCGATGATTCTGTAACACAAAAATGAAAGATTCATATTAAATAGACGCTCAAAATAATCAATGTTTCAAAAATAATTTTTACACACGTCTAATTCATCTTTTAATTAGATTTACTAATATATGTATATTTTACTTATTTCCTGAGAAAAACCTTTATGAGAATAAACTTTTATAAAATTTTAGATAAAATTTCGGTTTCTCAAATTATTTCTTGCTTATCCGAGATAAATCGACGCGAATAAATAGAAAAGAACTATTGATTTTAAAAATAAGAAATAACACTTACCCCAAGGTTGCTCCGTCGGGGCCCGATGCCTTTGCCAGGCCTCCTCCTCCTCACCACGATTCGCCAGGTCCTTCTCCGTTGCAGCGTTGATCCGTTGGCCGGTTGGCGCACACTCACGACGTTCACGAAAATCGACGATAAGATCGCGTAGCTTATGATCGCGCGATATTTTCGACACTTCGCACGACACTCCCGGCATTAATCTCGCGACGTGGCGCAGGCGACGGAAAAATTACGGCGAAGAA